TTCTTTCTAAATTTCTAAGTTATCACAAAGCATTTTTCACCCCTCCCTGCGCCTCCTCTCTTCTCCCCACCCCCCACCACCTAGCCAAAATACCTAATCTCATTTTAACTAGGCTCCATCTGAGCATCAAGGATACTGAGCTCTCCATGAATAAACATGATGTTACGACGGGAAACCCTGTGACTGAAGTATATAAAAATGTAGCTGAAAGAAAAGACTGAGAGGCCCCCATCCCCTCCCACCCCCTCCCCAAGGAGTTGGGGAGTTGAACTGAGAAGGGGTGAAAAGCAGCAGATTTAAATTTCAAGGTCTTCAAACATTTGTACCATTCCTATTAAACCCTATAACACTAAACACGGTGATTCTAATAAAATCCTTGTGTGTGCAGCTTCCAATTGTAATCACGTTTCTCTTTTGGAGGGGGTGTGTAATAGCGACAAAGGCAAAAAATAAATCTCAAAACAGCAGAAGCACAGAATGGAACCCACACCCTTTCCTGATGTGTGTGGTGTTTTATTAAAATAAGTATGCTAACAACATGAAAAATACATACGTACAAACATCTTCATTAAAGCACAGACATATTTTGTCAATTTGTATGGGGAAACAAGGGATAGCAAAGTTATCCAAAACAAGGATTTTTTACAATTTCGCTGGTAAAGTTTCTTAAATTCTGTAACAGTCCAACATTCCTGAAATCCCTTGGCTAAAAATTAAGGTCCTTAGGATGGGCCTCATATTTTTTCCTATATTTTCATCCCATAGCACAGACCTCAAAAAAAAATTTTTTTTTTAAATAGTTTTTGTCATTCTGGAAGCTTACGCAGAACAAGTCTTTAAGACACATTTTCATATCCTTTCTGACTGTAGTTGATGTGCAGTACTAAATTATATCATGGTGCAGTCCTCTGCATCTGGGACAGCAAGACCATGACATGCTTGAATTTTGGGAGACACCAGGTCAACTCCTGGTGACTAACACAAGGGAAAATGAAACTCCCTTCCATTGCTTGGGAATGGCACTGATCAACAGTGACACAAATCTCAGAGTTTCTCTTAATTTCATTTAAAAAGGGGGGGAAAGACCCACATGTTTCCTTATAAAATTTCACTGAGATTCTGATGTAGTAAAGAAATTGTATTTGCCAGAACAGCCAACAGCATTTAAACTGTTTAAACTTTTTGTTTTGTTTTGTTTTGTTTTGTTTTGCTTTGCCCTGTATCATATTATGTTTTAAAAAATAAAATAAAATAAAATAAAATAAAATAAAATAAAGATGAGGTTCTAAAATCTCTTTGACACTGGCTCTCTTTTGCCACAAAGATTAGAGATCTAAATAACCTCCTGATTGAATAAATGTGGATAATATGGGGGTGAGAGGAGGAAGCAGGTGCCCAGAGCAGCTTCAGGGGGTACCAGGCACCCGGAGGCATTCAAAATTGTGTTTCTCAGGAAAGGTGCTAATTTCAATGATATCATTCTCAAACTCTCCTCTTTCATCTATTTGTTGGTCATGGGCTAGTTAACAAATGTTTATTGAGTACCTACTTTGTCCCAGGAATTCCTTGCTCCAAGAGCTAGCCTTAAAGAAGACTGGCATAGGATCTCTGTCTTTAACACTTCCTCCACGATTAGCCTATTATTTCAACACCATTTGTGATTTTGAACTAAATACCAGGAGCAAAATAATAATAACTATACGTTGCTCTAGTTCACAATACTATCTCATGCCGAAGCAAACCAAACCGGGACTTACTTGTAGTGTCTGAATTTTTTAATGCAAGGGCTTTGCAAGGAATGTGCCAATGAGGACCCAAGGTCCAAGCCAACCGCTTAGTAAATTACGGAAACAAACAGATTTAACGCCCAGTCTAATGTTCTTTAAACTAAAAACTACTGGCTTCCGAAGGGGGTGGAATTGACAAACCCCCGTGAGAGGATGCCCAGACAGTCAGCAATGGGAGAGGGCCCAGTAAACACCAGTTCTTCACTACTCTCCTTCCTGTCCATGAAGAAGGAAGGTTCCAGGAAACTTCTAAGAACTTGATCTGCAGTTTATTCCTCACAGAATAACCGGCTGCAATTCCTTCCTAGCCCAGTCAATGTTGAAAAAGGAATGGGGAGTTGACAATATTACCTAGGTGTGCCTGTATGGGTGGTGTTAGGAATCAATAAGATAACACTGTGTAACATAGGGCCCCAGAACAGGAGAGAGAGGAGAAAGCCTGAGTTGGAATCATTGGTTAAATTCTCAAAGTAATTGCTCAACTATATATTGGATTTTGTGTGTGAATAAACTGGTAATTCTTGCTGGGTAGTATGGTATTTTATCCCAATCAAGCCATCTTTGGCTCAGAACAACTTTATCATAAATAACCATCGTGGGTAAAGGTACAGTATAACTTTTTTCCTAAATATTTTCTTTTCCAGTTCCAAACCGTAATCAAAAGTTAATATTTAACATAAATATTTAAATATCTTAGGAGTACCCTGGCTGGTGTGGTTAGGTTGGTTGGGTGTCATCCCCAGGATGGAAGGGATGTGGGTTCGATTCTTGGTTAGGGCATGTGTCCAGTTTCGGGCTGGAACCCTGGTAGGGGCACACAGAGGCAGCTAATGGCTGTTTCTCTCTGTGTGTCCTTCTCCCTTCCTTTCTCTCTCTCTCTCAAAAAAAATCAATTGGAATATATTTTTAAAGTAATAAATATCTTAGGGAAATCATATGATTCTTTTTTTCATACGAAATGAAAAGGAAAAATGTATGGCACTAGGTTCATGAGCTTAGTTACACTTGGCAAAAAAAAAAAAAAAAAAAGGAAGTGCCAGAGCAATTATTTGGTTAATTGAAGAAAAGATCTACCTAGGGAGGGGGGAGGGGCATGTTCGGGTTGGCCCTGGGACACACCAGGAGAAAGTTAAACTGTTCTCTGTCACAGCCAGGGAGGTTTACACACATTTTAAGAGCAAGCTTTTCTCTCCAGGTTCTTGAGTTATTTCTCCTAAGAAAAAATCTTTAAAAATAATACCATAACCCAAAAATTAGGAATACCTGAGGCTAGCTCTCAAAAAAATTAATAATAATAATGTGCCATTGTTAAGAAACATATCATGAATGGGGGGCTTTTCAAAGGTATCCTCTCAAATGTGAAATAAAGTGGGGACCTTGTGGCATCCTGAGGCCGGGGTGGAGAGGTCTCTCCCCTGAGCCTCCTGGCTGAGCCCTGGCCAAGTGGAAATTGAAGGCACAGGCGAGCACAGGTGTGGGAGAAACCTGCCTGCTCTCCTCGCCAAGGAGGACGGGAAACGCACCTCTTTCCACAACTCCTCCCAAACTTTCCAAATGTGACGTGGACACGGGTTCTTTCTCAATCCTTTTGCTCTTCAAGAATTGAGCCATCCTGACCCTTGGTCTCTTTTTTTTAATCCCAATCCTATTTCTAATACATTTTTACCTGAAATTCATATTGCCATGAACGAATGTGTGTGTGAACTATAAGACTGTTTATAGTCTCCTAATTCTGAAAGCAAGCCACAGCAACCAATGGTCTATGCAAGCACTTGAGATTGCAGCACACAGTGGCTAAGGTCTGAGAGACATAAAAACTGTCACACACAAGTACACACACACCAATGTCAAAGCTCTGTGAGCAAAAACAGTTTCTACTTCTGGAAAGCGACTGACTTCCAGGGAGAGCAACAGTGTCCTTCTTTATATTTAACCCTGATGGAGTTATGAACACATAAAGAAAATAGCAAGGATCAAGACAGCCCCGTTTAAAAAAAAAAAAAAAAAAAAAAAAAAAAAAGCCATCAGTGCTTGTCCAGCAGGTAGCCAATCAGAAAGCAGGTCACATCTTGTTAGCTGTATTAAATATGGTAAACGTCACGAATACTCCATGGCTCCGTTGACAATTCAAGCAAGTGTGTTTTATGTTATCCTGCCGGCTCGGCTGAGCTCCTTTCCAGGGTTGAGAGTTGCTCTCCCTTCTAAAATTCCACCACAGCTCTTCCCTAAACGCTCTCTGCCCTCCCCCTCTGGGCATTTGCTCTCTGCAGACAAGACTGACTGACTTCCCAGGGATTTCTACTTCCTCAAGTGACTTTGAGAGAACTCCTCCTTACAGCACTTCCACACAAAGCCCCAACTTCCAGGCTCAGGGACCGCCCAGGACCTGCCTGCCCGCAGAGCCAGCACAGAGAGAGTCATTAAATATTGCAATGGCAGGAGGCAGCCTGGAGTTTTGCATGGACAAAGTTCTCCAAGTCCTGTCCTCCTCTCTGCTCCCAGATTTGCTGGCCCCTGGGCTGAGGCTCCCTCTCTCAGGCACAGAATCCCACACATGCAGAAAGTCCAGCTGCCTTGGCTGCGGGGCCAGCCCCTGAGGAAGGCAGAGCCCTGAGGAGGCACTCCCACCCCCACAGGAGAAAGTCAGGAACCCCCTTTGCCCCAAGAAACTGCTTTAGGGTTTCACACAGAAACCTACAGCCAGCCGTGTCCCCAGCAGGGCCAGTTTGGAAAAGTACTCGGGTTACTCTCCTGCCCCCCTCATCTCGATTTGGATGACTTGAAAAAAGCCAATGCAAGTCAAAACAGACTTCCCTTGGGATGTGTTTTTAAAAATCATTTTGCGGGATGCAAATGATCGCAAACCCCTTTAGCATTCCATCTCCAGACACGCTTGTTCACGGACCCCCTGGGAGCCTGCAAACCCTGGGGTTTTGGGACAAACCAGGGGGTTCTGGGACAGCAGCCTGTCTGGGGACCCTCCAAGCCAGGCAAGCGCTGGGCTGTCTGTTTGAGGATTCCAGCAGAAACTGTCCCCAGCTCCAAGCGTTCCAACTAGTGGCTCCATCCTGGCGCTCGTTTCCACGGAGGTGGGAGTAGCTAGCGGGACACTTCCCACGGAATTCAGCCGGCATCCCGGGAAGAGCCCGCGCACAGTTTGCAGAAAAATATACACAAACGCACGCCCCAGAGGGTGGGGGGTGAAGTACTTACCTCTGTGCGAGACTGCAGTCTCTTGTTCATCTCGTAGATCCGGTACTCCGGCTGCACCATGTAGGGTGTGTGTCTCCTATAAAATGGGCCGAAAGGAGAAGAATAGAAGGGGTCGTGCGGCGTGCTGGACATCTTGCCTGCCTGTGGAGAATCACGCTGCACAGAGTGTCAGGAACGTCCATGCAGAGCACATGGGCTGTGTTCCTCGCGGTACAAAGTAGGCGCACGCACACGCGCTCGCACACACACACAGCGGCAGGCAGGCAGGCTGCACACACTGGCTGGGAGCTGCTCTCAGAGCCCTCTACAGCGAGGAGCGGGAGCGAGGAGGAGGGAGGGTGGGAGGGAGGAGGGAGGGAGGGAGGGAGAGCAGGCAGAGGGAGAGAGCAGGAGCTCTGGAGAGGAGGGAGGGTGGGAGGGAGGAAGGGAGGGAAGGAAGGAAAGAGAGGGAAGGAGGGAGGGGGAGAGGGGGGAGGGAAGGGGAGGGAGGGAGAGAGAGAGAGAGAGAGAGAGAGAGAGAGAGAGAGAGAGAGAGAGAGAGAGAGAGAGAGAGAGAGAGAGAGAGAGAGAGAGAGAAAGGAGCTGGATAGCTTTAGGCACCACTGCTTGTTTTGAAAGAAGCAGTTTGTGGAGAGGTCATTTCCTGTCCACACTGTAGAGGAGTAGTTCAAAAATATAATTCTCCTCCCAGGCTGACAGAGGTCTAAGGTTTGGTTTTAATTCTTTCCCTCCAGCCAGAACCCTTTCCCACCTGACTGCTGAGCTTGTTAGCATAGAGGTGGTTGCACAGGCTGCTGGAGCCACTCACCCCTGACAGCCACACTGTGGTCATGTATCAGAAATGTGAGGACTACAAAAGCTGGAAATGGGGCACCCTGGTCCCCCCACACGGGAGATGGGGATTCACTACATGCAAGGATTTCCCTCTGCACTCACCTCCCACTATAGTTTTGTTTTTACTTGTTGTTGTTCTAAGAGCTTGCCATATAGTCTTTGCATTCTGAGCCTTCTTCACCCTCACCCCTCTCCAATCTCTTCCTCCCTGTCCCCTCCACCTCCTGCTCCTTCTCTAAGGCTTCCTTCCAGGCTGGTTTGAGGGGACCATGGAATGCAGCTTGCCTAGGCATTTTCAGGTAAAAACAAGGACTGGGAGGGAAGGTTGCATGCCAGAGGTACATCTATGAAGCAATGGACTTTTCTCCCCCAAGAGGAAAAAAAACAAAAATAAAACTCCAGAGGCAGACCTCCCCAAAAGATAGAAAAAGCAAGAAAGGGAAAACTTCCCCAAAAAATGACCATGGAAAATTCGGTTGAGTGGGAAACTGCAGATAATTGAACAGCTCATCTCCAAGCATCTCTGATGGGTATGAGTCTTTATTTTGGTCAAGTATATAAGTCTTTTCTCAACTGTGCTATAGGATAACTGAAAGGAAACAGTTACCGTGGGAGGAGAAAGAAGCACTATAAGAATAAAATTATCTATAGGGCAATCAAGCTCTGCTGGAACCAATGATAAGGACATATACACCCTTACACAAAGCTCAGACACAGAAAATGTAAACGTGTGGCACGAATATCTAGCTAGGTCAGTGACATTAAAGAAAGCAAGCAAAGACCACCAAAAGCAAGATGCATGCAAGACCTGAATGTAAATGTATGCAAATGAGACCTTTCTTCTTTTTAATAGGCAGATTAATTAACTTCCTGCACTACTCAGGGTTTGGGGTACCTCCAAGCCACTAGCCAACAGGGGATAAGGTATTGCTAATACTGCAATGTACACTCTTAAGACTAGTCAAGTGCAGAAATGTCCCCAAATCACTGTCCCACCATCCCTTTCCATATTGCATGACATAGTTGCAGAATCCACCCCCCAAAAAGTCCAGCGCAGCCCCACACAATCCTGTGAAGTGCCAGGATGCGATGAGGGAGGCAGTGCACTAAGGCTGCTGGGAGCTTGTTCCAAAGACCCCGGGGCAGGCCAGCATGCTCGGTGTCAGGTTTCATTACAAATCCAAAAGCTGGACCAAATTTGCTGCAAGGTTTGTCAAAACACACAACCTTCTAGGACAGGATTTCAAACAAATTTGGGGTGATTTATGTTTTGGAAGGATGGCCACGGCAAAACCTAACAGTTCCTTGTGTTTAAATTCCCAAACTAAAGGCAGTCAGTCCAAGGGTTGAGTGCCTGCCCAAGTTTGCGTTTACCTGGCTGTTTCCATGCAAGAATCAAAGTTATACCTAGCAGGTATGGGAAGCCCAGTATTGATTGACCCAAAAAGGAAAAGCTCAAAAATTCATTTAGGGAACCCCTTTCTGAATGAAGGCACTGGTGTGTGTGTGTGTGTGTGTGTGTGTGTGTGTGTGTGCGTTCAGTAATTTTTTGGACCATTCCAAGTTATAGCGCTGTAAATATTGCTCCTGTTAATACCTAATCCAAATTCAGAAATGTCTGAAACTTCATTTTGCTTGGTCCACGTGGTTTCTCAGTCCTTCCATTTCATGAGTCTCCAAACTGGTGATTGCTCCTTATTCTACTCAGAATGCTGACCATAGAAAAGGAATATTGATCATGTCCCATGTTTCCCCTTCAGTGTTTTCCTGCTGTACATAGGAAAATGTCCAAACTCCTCCCTCTGCATGGTTCACAAGGCTGGTTAAGAGTCACTCTCTCTCTGTCTCATTCTGTCTATCAAACACATCACACACACAATTAATTAGCTACACTTGATCTGCCTGAAGTTAGAATCTCATTCCACAAATGTACATATTTGTGCTTTTGTCTCTTGTTTATCTGCAAAGTTCTACTCATCCTGGTATCCAATTAAGTTGTCTCCTTCCCTGTGAATGCTGTTTCACTTCCTATTCATGAATTCATTGGTTCCACAGATATTCCTTTCATAAAGGATGCAGGCACAGGCTATAGCACCAGCCCATAGCACATTTCAACCCTGGTTCCACCATTTACTTGTCCTGTGAACATGAGCAAATCACTGGTCCTCTCTGCATCTCAGTCCCCTCATTTTTAAAATTGAGGACAATGAATAGTAACAACCCATCCGACTGTTGCAAAGAACTAGATGAAACACTACTCTCGAGTGTTTTAGAACCCACACATATAAATGCTCAAAAAATGTTATTATTCTCACTTACCTAATAGAGTTGACCCTTGAACAGTTCCAGTGTTAGGGGTACCCCGCAAAAGTTGAAAATCTGTGTATAATTTTTGACTCTACAGTCAGCCCTTCACCTTCACCAATCCAACCAGCCACAAATAGAAAACAGTACTTTTGCATTCCCAATTGCAGATTCACAACAGACAGATGTAAAATTCTGTTTGGGAATCTGCAGATTGGAATCCCATGAATATGAAGGGCTGATGGTTATTTATTGAAAAAAATAATCACGTTTAAATACCTATGTTGTTTAAGGGTCAAGTGTATATGCTTAATTGTAAGGAACAACAGAGGGCAAGGTGGACACAGGAGATAGACTCCTTGCCTTCCTGTTCCTTGCAACCAAGATGGCGGGTGAGGAGGACTGTGTAGAACTAGTAAGTCTCTGGGAACATAATTTCGAATTGTAGTGTGTGCTATGAAGCCAATACATTAAAGGAAGAGATGGAGAATAATTTACTTTTGGGGGTCAACAGGGTATCTTCTATATTCTTCTATTAGAGAATTTCCATACAACATAGTAATTGCTGTTATTTGTGAAGTTATTTACTATGTGGTGGACACTGTGCTGAGTGGTTTCCACAAATATTCTTCATTAATCTCACAATAAGCCATTATGATATATTCAATTACTTTCCCATGTTATAGATATGGATGCTGAGGCTTTTGCGATGCTAAGAAACTTCTTCAAAGTCACACAATTAATAAGTGATAGGGACAAGATCAATACCAGTTTGCCTAAGTCTTAAGCTCTGGTTCATTCTCATCTTTAAGGCATCTGTTTTTTTGACCCTAGTGACCAGCATGGTACTGAGGCCACAGTAGGTGCTCAAGCCATGTGTCCCCAGTTAAATGGGAGAAAAGCCAAGAGGATGAAGTGGGTGTTGTTACTGGGATTTCATTCTTTCTCCTGCTTACTTTCAGATACCTGCTGTTCCCCACCCCCATTTATACCCATTCTCCTTGAAGCCTTGTCCTACTGCTCTCACCTTTTTTTATTTGTTGAAAAGTTCCTGGCAGATATCCCAAAAGCTCCACTATTAGGTGTTCAATCCTTGGCCCCATCAGGTTAACTGGCTGGTTTTGCCTCTTGTCTGTCTGTCCTGCTTCCTTGCTTCTTGATGGACCAGCTTGATGGATTCATCTTCTTATGGCCCAGGACTGAGCCTGAGAAGAGAAACCAATAAGGTGCTCATTATAAGCCTGCAAATCATCTCCTTTAGGACCCCATAGGAAAATACAATAATCAATATCTGTATACCATAAAAGAATGAGCAAGCCTCATTACTAATGTCTCTCTCTCTCTCTCTCTCTCTCTCTCTCTCTCTACCCCTTCCTCTCTCTGAAATCAATAAAAACATATTTTTAAAAAAATACAAAATAAAAAATTTAAATATGAATGAGCAAGCCTAACACCAGTGTGACAGTTCTCTTACCCCAAAGATTTTTGGACCACACTAGTTTACATATAATTTTGCATGTGGAGTATTGAATAAGCTCCAAAAGACCGTGTCTTGCTATATTTAGCTCAGATTTAACCCAGTGAGTGCTTATTTTACCTTTAATTTGAAATGTTGGTCAACAGTTTACAAAAATCAAGATTTTCATATAAAATCCAGATTTTCTAAAAGACTTATATGCATGCATATTAGCATAACCAATGGACACAGACACTGGAGCGGTGGGGGCTTGCTTGGGGTGGGAATGGCTGGGGGGGACAGGGTCAATTGGGGGAAAAGGAGACATTAAAAAAAATCCAGATTTTCATCTTCTCTTGAAAAATCATAAACCCTGGGATGTGACTCCACCATGATTTCCATCACTCTCTAGCCTTCACCAGCCAATGTCCCTAATTTTCATTTGCCTGCCTGGTCCCTTTAGGTGTTTAAGTCATTGTCCCTTTACTTAATCTATTCAATTGCACCCTCCAATTCCTGCTAGCAAGCTCTATTTTTT